ACATGCTGGTCGCCTGGGGGAAACACCTTACTGCCTTCACACTCCTGTCGCAGAGGACAGTACGACTTTACTCCCAGACCGCCTCGTAGTACGGGGTCTCGCTGCTCTTGGTCTGTCTGCTCCCCTTTGGCCTTCCTGGCATGGTTGCACCTTGTGGAACGAAGTTCCAGCCAGTGTAACCCGCGGAATCATTGCAGAACTCAAGCCCGACCACCACGTCAAGGTGGCAGCTTTAGGTCGGGAAATGTAAGAATAACTACTGTGGTTTGCACAAGGTCAATTTTTCTTGATCGGGGCGGAAATGGTCACTAGGGTACTTGACTGCCACCCCCAGAACAAGAGTGTTCAGGTATCGGATATGATGTCCATCTCATGAGGCGGTCAGAAGACGGTTTTTGGGTGAAGCTGACGGTACTTCACTCAAAGACAGTTTGCTTTAACAATGTGTCACACAGGCCGGGTTACCAGTTTGTGAGAGAAGCTCGGGTTTCCCAAGTTAGAGTCACGGAAACCTCGAGATGTTATGCACTACTCATAAGGTTGCTGGAGTTCTTTGACAGCCCACGACCGGTTTCGCCCGCCTGGGAGTCTCAGCAGGTAGGCGAAGTCCCCTACTTTCCGTCCAACTTATGTTCTATTTGAACCTAAATCGCACGAAATTAGCTAACTACACTTATTTGAAAACGAATTTGGTTTTGCGAGAGACTAACCTAGTACCCAGCTGAGGCTCTCGCAAGACCAAATTTGTTTGCAACTGATTTTATTTCGCTAATGATGGAAACTTACGTGTACACGAAAAGTCTGAGTTGAGGTTGGAGCTGTTCAACCCGTGGGATTCGGTCCATCTGACCATCCCTGTGTTTGACTGGAGACACTGAATGATAAGGTGGCTCACCAGTATCAGTGCCTCTCACACTTTCACTGTCTGTCCAGGTTGTCTGACTGAATGTTGTAGGCTAGCCCAAGGTCCCCATTTCTCCTTCTCATTAAAGTAGTTTATTCAAACAAATTGACATGATCGTACGGCAGTGAAGCAACAGTGTTCTCATCCGCTTTCGCTCTTGATGACGATGATGATGATGATGATGAGGTCTCTTGACATAATCTGCAACAGCTCTACCCAAAGTACTTCTGGTCGGTTGCTGATAAATGTACCACATTCGACAAGATTTCAAAAAGTGGTCCTCTTATTGACAGATCACATAAGACCGTATCCGCAAATTACCGATATCATTTCGTGTAGAGCAGACATTCAGAATATGTAAGTCAGCCAAACAGTAATACAGCTGATAAGTACGGCCGAAACAAACACCCAGTTATGCAGCACGCACGTTCATTCCATCCTCGCTTGTCCAACCGCGTTGGATACATTCTAGCAACTGAGGTATCAACATGGTGGGTTGATGAGTAACACTCAGGCAACAAGCGGCTGAGCGCAGGATTCGTACGTGTCAATCAACGCATCTAACGCTGGTGGAAAATGATATGTGGCTTCTTACCCTCACTGGAGTGCTTTTTTGCTCGGATTCGAACAACTACATGCTTACCGTTTTTAACAGGTACACACAAACACGCGCGCGCGAACCATCGAGAGTAGCCGTCACACCGTCTAACCTGTCCATCAACTCGAATTGCGCACGTACATGCCCCATGGTTTGACCGCAAATTTGGCACCACTGTTTTCTGGTGTGTGTGTGTGTGTGTGTGTGTGTGTGTGTGTGTGTTGGAGGCGCACTGACGGATAATTGGACAGCTGTGCTTGAGGCTGACGAAAATGTGCTACCCCTCGACGGTCGGTTTCCGGGGGGAGGCGGTACAGACTTAGCGACCCCGTGAAGCATCAAACATGGATACAACCTTACAGCAAGCGCGATTTTTTTCCTCAAGACATGTCGAGTTCTATGATAAGTAGCTTTGAATTTTCCGGGAAATCACACGTTCCTGGTCAACGGTAAATTTGACGTTATTCTGGAAAAATAATTTTAACTCGTTGGTGCAACTAGGTATGTCTGACAGTTGGCGGATAGTCGGGTCGTTCAAGATTCACTGTTTTGATGTTCTGGCATTCTTCACGGGAAACCTCTCGGTAAACTTGTTGAGCTGATCCAACATGTGTTCCGCGCGAAATCAAAAGATGACGTTCTGACAAGCCGGACATTTCATTTATCTTGAAACAGAATCATTCTCGTATATCAGTTGGGGCATTTTGCAACTCTTTTTTGGATGGCTGCAAAGATTTTATAATCACCTCTTATCATACCATCATCATCATGATCATGATCATCATCATCATCATCATCATCATCGTCATCATCATCATCATCATCATCATCGTCATCATCATCATCATCATCATCATCGTCATCATCATCATCATCATCATCATCGTCATCATCATCATCATCATCATCATCGTCATCATCATCATCATCATCATCATCGTCATCATCATCATCATCATCATCATCGTCATCATCATCATCATCATCATCATCGTCATCATCATCATCATCATCATCATCGTCATCATCATCATCATCATCATCATCGTCATCATCATCATCATCATCATCATCGTCATCATCATCATCATCATCATCATCGTCATCATCATCATCATCATCATCATCGTCATCATCATCATCATCATCATCATCGTCATCATCATCATCATCATCATCATCGTCATCATCATCATCATCATCATCATCGTCATCATCATCATCATCATCATCATCGTCATCATCATCATCATCATCATCATCGTCATCATCATCATCATCATCATCATCTGAAGCATGACATCAGTGCTCAACACCAATGCTTCACCTCTTATGGAAAACCCAACTCGTCCTAGGATGAAGAAGGCGTGTTCGTTAGCCCTAAAGATTGGATTGCTACTTGACAAGACAAAAGTTCGCACTCTGCCCTAATACTGTTTAAATGGAACCACAAAATCAATCACTCTCAAGAAGATTAAATGGAGTCAATGTTGACCTTGAGAGTACAATGAATCCTTTATTCATCCAAATGTCAAAGCATCTTAGCCAAAGAAACCCTTAGTAGGGAGTTTGGCTATTTATTGTAGTACGCTGTAGGTTTACCAGTATGCTTTCTAAATGATTCCCAGGGGGTAAAGTTGCCCCGGTTGAACGTTCGTGGCAACCAAAATCGCTAGAAAAACCTGTCAATAAAGGGAACTGCTATGCCACAACGTATCTACCTGTCAGGTTGCTTGGAACTTGGCGAGCCTGAATCCTGAGACAGGGAGCGTGCAGGGGGCAGCTTGCATATGTTCATACATGCATGAGTTGAAAGGGAGTTCCATGGAGGTTGGAGGTTTTATCTAGGTGACTGCATGAGGTCGAGTCCGAAATAAACTCAGTTGGAGATGACCCTGTTTTGGAAAATACTGCTTAAGGAGAGATCAGCTTGAAGCAAAGTGTGATGTGCCGGTTAGAGATGAAGAACACGAGTCCTAGATCCACTTAAGACCGAATGCTTCTTTACTGAAGGTCTAATTCCGTTTTTTTTTCACGTGAAGAATACCAAAACCGTTCACCAAAGACTCGTACAAACATACCGTGTCTACGGATAACCAGTGAAATTAATGACGAGAAGTTATGGATAAAAAAATCAACGGAACTGCGGAAGTTGTACCAAGATTTCGAACAACCAATGTGCCTCTCTCCAGCGTGATGAAACTGAAAAAGTTACCAGGATTTAAAAAATACATATCAAAAACTTCAAACGCTGATTTATCCATGTGATTCTGCCAAAATGCCCCCTTCTTTTCGATTCAGTAGCATTTACAACGAGGCCTTAGTATTTACACCAACCTAATGACTTCCAGCTCTATACGTATGTCAACGAGAACCGCAAAACATTCCCAGCCGTGCGCCGTTTCATCGGTCATGCTCAATGCGACAAGCCTAAGCGAAACTGACTGTTTGCTCATTGTTGGTTCTCCTACGGCATCGGATATTTGAATCTCTCCAAGGCGGTCGATGCTCGCTCAAATGTCAAGGTTATTCATTCCTAACTCTTCTTATCCCATTTCCGCTTGTAAAAGTGACTGGAGATGACGAGCAAGAGGTCACAAGATTGTTCAAAATACCAATTCCTTGTTCCATGCTAGCAGTCCGATAGGACCTTGTGTTGTTTTCCACTGGTTCAAGTAATCGTCAACCATTCTTTGGACCCGCACCTGTTTCGTTTGCTTCACCCATCATAACGGTTTGTGCACCTCGAATGAACCCACATCTTCAAAACGAAATTGGTCGAGTCAGGGATTTGCGCGAGAAAATGTCGGATCAGAACCAAGAACAGTATTAGCACGAAATGGATAATGTGTGCATCGTTCGGAAGAAAAAACATCAGGCATTTTGGGTCACATAAACACTCTTCAGTTTGATACATTTTGATCCAACCCCTCTGCCACTCGCCTTTCTTCTAAATCCACGTGGCATTGGTTCTTCTGCGGCAAACTCTCCAGCTGGAGAGTTGTCGTCTAACGGGATCTGACGGATCTTCCCTTCAGGGCGATGTCCACCTGTCATTCTTCAGGCGGCAAGGTGTGTGTGTGCTAACAAAACCGGCGGCTTAATTAACTTACCAGCTCCTTCTGTGTTTTCTCAGTGACTCTCAAATGATTTGTGAACCATTCCAAGGTCAGCAGAGCAGTGTCCGACAATATGGGTTAACGAAACTCCATGTGGCCCAGTTATTGATCCGGCAGGATAAAATTTGCTATTCGCTTTATTCGAATATCGCATTGAAACAATCGCCGATCTATTGTGGCACTAAACTGGACAGTCAACTTTTTCATAAGGGAAACTACTCACAAGGTTGCTGAAAACTCTTCGATAGCCCACGACCGGTTACGCCCTTCTTGAGGCTCATCAGGTGGCGCAGTCTCCGAGTTCCCGTCCACCTTATGTTCTACTTGAACCCGAATTGGTTTGCAAATGGATGTATTTCTCGACAGTCAACTGTTCTGTAAATAATCGTGACAGAGGATCTCGTTTGTCCTTAGTCTTCAAATACGAATGAAACTTTTGATATGACGCTCAAGACAGTCCACATGAGTTGAAGTCTCCGATTAATTTAAACAAACGATTGTGCAAAATGGCTAATCTTTCGGTCATATCGTTCACATTTTTACTGCAACGATTTGGACTGCTCCAATTTGCCCCGATGATGTAGCGATAACACACTTGTTCAGAATGTCAAACGGTCAGAGTTTTAATCCCTTAGAAGCTCAAGACTGCGCTCCTCGCTCCTTGGCTTGGATTAACAAGAGCTATCGCAAAGAGACAGACTTTACTCAAAATATGTATGGTCCTACATCTCCTCGCTCACGTGTGTCTGTAGTTTAGAACAGCACGGGTTGTCCACAACCCCACGGTTAGTTGCCCGACCAATGGGCATATAAAACGACTTGATTGCTAGCGAAATGCACTCATTTGCAAACCAATTTGGTTTTGCGAGAGACTCACCTGGAACCCAGCTGAATATCTCGTTTGTGATGTTTCCAGGCAACCGAATATGCTGCCCCAGGCTGCCTCATGTTTCGCGATATTGCGAGGTGTTTTCAGCAACCTTATGAGTAGTGCATTACAAAACGACTTGGTTGCTAGTAAATATCTATTAATTGTTGGGGTTCGGACTATAAGACACAAATGTGCATATTCACTTTCGGTGGATCGAATGAATTGTCGTTAATTTTTTTCTTAAGTTCAATGCTTCCAAATTTTGTTGGGATTGGTCAGTCGGGATAGAACGCCAGAACGAATTCCATTACATTCCCACCACACATGCGTATCCCAAGATTTCCACAAATGCACTCATTTGCATATCAATTTAGCTTCGACAGGAGACTCATCTGGAACCCAGCTAAATCCCCCGTTTATCGTGTCTTTGAGTAGCAACTTTATGAGTAGTGTATTGCGTCTTAACAACATATTGTCCATAAAAACACAAAAGACAGTTCTATCGAAGAAAGATACCGACCATTTCAAGAAAGCTTCAACCAACATGTATCAATTTGAGATTTATTCTCCATCTTTATCCTCAGCTGACATACGCAGGCTGCACCCAAACTCTGCTTTGTTAGCAGTCAGATAACAGCCCATTAGTGGCTTAGCCAGAACAACACGTGATCAATGTACCAACAATGTGTACACGTGCTGGGTTCCACAGCATCACGTGAGCAATGTACCATCAATGTGTACACGTGCTGGGTTCCACAGCATGAACAGCAAACACTGGAATTCAACTGCCACTTTTCTCTGCAAGCCCCTCGACGGGACGTCCCGAACGAGCGTTACGCCAGTTAGCCGTGGGAGTACGCATCACAGCGGGTTTCTCTCGTCAGCAGTGGGTTGAAGACCCCGAGGCGAGGCATCGAAAGTGTGAGGAACTTTCGTTACTTGCCAACGTTATTCTTCTTTGAAATGGATGAAAATCTGGACAAAAGCGTTTCAGTTGTCCTTCTTGGTGAGATGGTCAGGAGCGAATGCCAGTAACTCAGATGCCGGACAGATCGCCAACCTGGCAGCCTATTATCGTATCATTTACGAGGCAGATTTTACATGATACCATAGGAATTACAGTAACGGTATCTATAGCAATGATGGAGACCGCTTTTGAGAAACATCAAGCAGGTTTTCTTCTGAAGAAACGTTTATTGACTCAGACAGTTCATCCCAAAATGGTCCGATCGGAATAAACGGTTTATTTTAAAGTGGCATTCTAAACCCTCAACCATCCGTTGTTGCTGTCACATGTTGAATGAAGATTAGGCCTCAGAAGTCCCAAATTGCGCAACAAGGTAAAGGTGATAACATATCGTATGCAGTAGGTTAATGGCGCTATAGCTTGCTGTCCACGATATCAGTCAGTGACCGGAGTGTAGTGGTGTACAACTAATGACCAAAGGATTTCAAGTCCGAAGGTTCCGAAAGAGTAGTCCTGTCGATTTTCCAAAATAAAAAGCGTGAAGCAGCTACACAGTAAAGGAAACTACTCACAAGGTTGCTGAAAACTCCTCGACAGCTCACCGCCCTTCTTGGGGCTCATCAGGTAGGCGCAGTCCCCGAGTTTTCGTCAGACTTATGTTCTTCTTGAGCCCAAATTGGACTGCTTTTGACAAACATACTCATTTGCAAATCGATTTGGTTGTCACGGGAGACTCAACTGAATCTCTCGTTTATGACATTCTACAGCTGAATGTGCTGCACACAAGCTGCCTCAAGTTTCAGTTGGCACGATAATCGAGATATCGCAGTATATGTTCATAAAGGAAAGTACTCGCAACTACCTAATGAGCCCCAAGAAGGGCGAAATCGGTCATGGGCCGTCGAAGAGTTTTCAGCAACCTTGTGACTAGTTTCCTCTATGAATATATACCGCGATATCTCGAATACCGTGCCAACTGAAACATGAACTGGCCTGTGTGCAACACATTCAGTTATAGAATATCATAAACGAGAGTTGTAGAAATCATAAACGAGAGATTCGTGAAAACCAAGTTGATTTGCGAATCAGCCACACAGTAGTTCTCTACCAATCAGCATAGACTGGCTTTAGTTGCTAGATGAGACCCCCTTCGATCTACTCAAAGCGCCAGTAGAAGATATATGTCGTCAAAACTATAAACTTTGCTCCACTGTCGCCAAAAGGTGAACGGAAATGGCAAAGGTTGGTTGACTGAATTAGCCTTGCCACAGGGAGTTCCTCACTGACGACTCCAAAAGGTGAACAGAAACCGCGAAGGTTGGTTGGCTGCAT